TTGCAATTGTTTATAAGCGTGAAAATTGCGAAAATGTTTAAACAATCACCACGGCTCTCCTAATCGTCCGATTTGAATTTTTCAAAAAGCATTTTAAAGCTTGAGAGCTCTTCTTTTTGTGGTGAAATTTTCAAGTATTCAAAGGCTTTAGATTTTTAGAAATTTGATTTTGAAAATTTTTTAATTTAAAAATATAAAAAAAATTAAACAATTATTATGTAAAAACTATCGAACCGAATTGAATGAAATTTGGTGTGATGATTCTATGCACTAAGAAGTTTAATTGGAAAAGTATGAAGATCCTAGGTATTATTCAAGCGTCTGAAAAAAATTGACAAATAAACTAGCATTTTTTGCAATTTTTTAAATGATTTTTCCGATTTTTGCAACAAAAATAATTATTTTTTCGAATTGCAACTAACTCTATCTTGATCAAAATTTAATTACAAAACTTTTTTTCCTTTTCCATTTTTGTCTAAAACGAATAGTTGCTAAGTTGTCGACGAGAAATCCAAGAAAAAAATGAATTTCTTTGCAATTTTTTCATACTTTTTAGCAATAACAATTAAGCCCACGTTTTTTTTTATTTGCATAGAAATATTGTCATTTCTGATGTTATTTAGAAGCCGTTAAAGCAAAAATCTCCGATCATATGCGTTTTACCTAACCCGAAACAAGTACCGCCTGGACTAATTTCCAAGTCAACCAAAATGGCGACTTAATTTAAGTTGAACACTCTATATAACCGAATAAGGTATTTTAAGGGAATCGTAACTTTGCTCGCTTACCCTAAGCTGTGGTTCTAAATGATTGTACGGAATGGAGGCCTTCTGCTTAAAGAATGCGCAAGCCAGGGGTGTAGCGAACGTGAGGCAAAATCCTAGTATGCCGAGAGTAGCAGGAACTGTCATCCACGGATACCTACAGAGCGTCCCTCTCTTCTCCAAATAATCCATCACTACGGGCGCCGCAACTAAAAGAATGTCAGAGTGTAAATAAAAATTAAATGGTTATTTAATCGATGAAGAGATTTTAATATACACTTTTTTTAATTTCGGAATTTAATGTGAAATTACCATTTACATCCCCATTCTACTTCACATATATGCAAAGAAAAAGAATCTTACCCATGCCTGGCAGTGCCATAAACACTCTGCTTAGTATCACCTGGCCTATACCACTCTGCGCGGCAACCTTTGAGTATCCCAGCTTGTTGTTATGATCGTCAAATACTGGAGTACCGTGTCTTAGTTCTCTAAAAAAATAATGGCACACTATAGAGGTGCGTGCAGTTCGTGAAATGGAAGAAAACAGGACGGAGATGAGCGTTGTAAACCGAGTCCGGTTCTGTTAAGAACCGCCTATCCCCGAACTCTACGATCATTCTCTGTCGGACGGGAGGAGCTGGTGGTGATTTGTTACTTTCACGGACGGTGTTTCTCTTAAAATACCTTTAACTGCATTTAATTAATATTTTTTGTGAGCGATGGTGTAGTCAACTGAAATATGGCGAATAGTGCAAAGAAATGTTTTACAGCATATTTTCTGTGCAATCAAAATGAAAAATGTTTGCCGAAAGGAAAAGGTACTTTAACCATTATTACTGAACTGGCGTCGATCTTGTTAATTAATTTAGTTTAACATTATTAAATCATTCAAATGTGCAAGGTGTTACAAAAAAGTAAGTCAACCCGTTAATCACAGAACACGTAGTTTAATACTACAATAATTGGTCATTTAATTTTAATTAACCGTATAAGACCATCAGGTTTTCTTCCATTTCATGAAATTTTAATAGCCCAGTCGGGTTGTCATTTAACCGGGGAAAAATTAGGGACCACAATTTTATTATTCTAACTTTTAGGGGGGGGGGTCAATAGTAGTGTAAATTCAGAATCGCGACTGAATTCCACCCCTGCGTCAGCCGCCATCTTGAATTTAAGGAAAAATCGTTTTTGCTCAATATCTCAGCCATTTTCAACTTTACAACAAAAATGGTAAGGACTTAAGTTGTTGCAAATGCGATTT